TTTTTTTTTTTTTTTTTTTTTTTTTTTTTTTTTTTTTATAAAGAAAACTGGGCTTAGCCTTGTGACAGGTGAAGAGTTATGTAGCAGGGTCAAAATATAAATCTTAAATTTATAAATGAAATGACTTATACCACAGCACTGTTGAATTCTCGAGTCTGATTTGGTCAGAAGATGATGATTAATTTTCTGTAACAGCAGTCCAGGCAGTAGCTTCAGCTGTAATTCAGGTTATAGCCTATTAATGCTCCTGCACGAGTACGTTATTGTTTCTGTAGTAACAACTGGTACTTGTTGACGCTCTATGTAATCTAAGCCTAATAATAAACAGATTTTAAAAATTACCTGGTTTAAAAAGAAAAACTGATGATTGTTGATATGGTGAAGCTTTTCTGTTAGGAGAGTTAACATTTATGGAATGAGTCTCCAATGTCAGTGCTTTGTAACAGTTCTGCCATAACTTTTTTTTTATTTTTTTTATTAACTTCAAGAGAATTAATAAAAGGGTGGCTGGCGGGGAAAAATTGCTTATGGTTGCATTAAATGTTATGGAATGTCCATGAGACGAGTGAGTTCCAGTTATTGCCAATATTATAATAGCTTTAAATGGTTAAAAACCATGAAGTGTTGTTTAATAAATTAAAAATGGCAATGTTTGGCAAATCGTTGTGGTGTAAGAGGAATGAATCACTCTGGGACGTGCTGTTATAGGAAAATAATCCGCTTTGTGGTGGTGTGGTATTATTTTCCTATAACATCACACCCCGTCATGTGTGCTATTATTTGTGCATGATGTTGTAATGCAGGATGATATTATTAAAAATAATAATTATTAAACAACCTTAATCAGAATATTGTTAATTTCTTGACAGAAGTATATCTTCCTCATGACAACTGATTGACTATGTTTACATGCACATCAATATTCTGATATTAATGGGAATTTGGCAGTATTCTAATTAGTATTGAGTCGTGCAAGTAAACGCTGCAATCCGATTGGCCGATTCAGGTTAAGACAATATTTGGATTCCCCAAATTCCAATTCCCACCCCTGGAATATGCCTGTTTTAATCGGAAATTTGTTGCATGTAGACACCTTCTTCAGAAAATCCACTGAAAGGAGAGATATGCGCATGCTCAGCCCGCAAGGAATTGTGGGTGCTAACAGATGCTTGGCTGTAGACTAGGTATTTAGGAGTAGCAACTCAGGCATACTTATAACAACCATGCATACAGGAATATTCCGATGCCTGTACTTGTATAAACATCGTAACCGGAATATGGCTGCAACCCGAGTATAGACCTTAAATGGAATTTGATGTGCATGTAAACGTAGCCATTGATTAGTTGATCATTCGGACCCATCCCAAGCTCCAGCTTTACTGGTGGTTTAAGGCCTGCTTTCTATTTGAGGATCGTGGTGTTTGGCCTGCAGATAGAGCTGACGGCTAACACCTCGCCTGTCTGCTGTCTATTCTCTTATTGATCCCTGCACTCTTCTCCCAAATCTCTGTTTGTCTTTGCCTCCCCCCTCCCGCCCAAGAATATCCACGGCTGTGTTCCATGTTTGCAGAAGTATACTACTATCTATTTATTCTTTTTATACTTGGGGGCCACGGTTGTGACAAGTTTATGATTTGTTGTGTAACCTTCACCGACGCTGGAGACAAGCTTGCCCAAGGGCACAGTGCATATTGGCAGACTAGCAAGCTGCCAAGATCAAGGCTCCACTCTCTGAATCCAGTAGCGTTGATTTTGTGCTACAGCTTTTTTCCTTGGCCTGTTATGTTGCACTGAAAGCGCAGAGTGCTTGGAGTGGAGCTGTGCTTACAGCACGCACAGTAACCCTGCTCGTCTGTACTCTTCTGTCCACCTTTTCCCTTTCAGTTTGCTCTTTGTTGATTATTATGTTCTGAGAATGACTACGCATTAACTCTTGAAGAAAAGGCTCACACCTAAGCGTGCAGATGAAAACGGTTGGTAGAAGTTACCCATATGCCGTCCAGTGTTCTCTCCACACTCGTCTCTGTGCTCAGGTCTTGAGGATAAACCTGCATTGCTGTAACGTGCAGGCTGAAGGTGCTAAACTAGTGAGTTATTGCTCTTTATTTAGCAGCATGTCACGAAGGAAGCTAAAATAATATGCGACCTTCCTTAGATCTGTCTGTTTTTACCCTTGGAGACAGATTTTCACTGCGTTCTGCCTCCAGCGTGGACCAGAAGTGTGCTATTGTAGATAGTATGAGACAAGTCCCTCATTGTGACAGGCGAGGAGCTGGAGAGCAGTGAAACGCTGGGGTGTTTGTGTGTCTCCTCCATCCCCCCCGTCCCGTGTGGCATAGACGAGTGAGAGAGATAGCAGAGCGAAAGGGGGAGGATGGGTGGTGCACCTCCTGCAGCCTTGCCTTTCCTCTGAATTAAACATAAAAGTGTTTAGTGTCCCAGTGCACATGCCTTGTTCGGTCATCCTTCATGGGTTATGTACTCTGTACGATTGAAATAAAACGCTCAGGCTGTTTAGCATGCTCATGTGAATGTGTCTTTCTGGAGGGCATTCGCAACCTTTTTTTCTTTTATTCTCTTTTCCTCGTAAGTGTTTGATTAATCTCTATAATTGTTGTTTGCCAAGAAAGGAATGAGGCAAACTCTTATCATATTTGTTTTATTTTTTTCATTATTTGTGTCCCCCTGCATGGCAATGATTTTTTTTTTTTTAACTTTTTTTTTAAGGCTTTTTGATCTTTATTTCTCCTCCTTTAAGCCAAAGAGCAAAATCTACTAGATTATAAATGCTATGAAACAATGCTAAATTCTCCAGAAAATTATCCCGTGCATGGAGAAAATGAAGAA